AGCAAGAGGCGCAAGGAGTGAGAGGGTGTGCTGCTGGAGGACTGAGGAGCACAAGCGTTATTAGACACCAGGAGGAAGGCCCTGTGGTAAGAATAAGGAAGGTGTTTGGAGGAGGCCATGGGGAAGTAGTCCAGGGAGTTGTAGCTGTTACAGGAGGCACTATAGACAGCTGCAGTCCACAGGGCCCTGGGCTGGAACCTGGAGTAGCGGGTAGGCCTGGGTTCCCCCCAAACCTCCTAATTGACCTGGACTGTGGGTTCTTCCAGAGGGGAAGGTCTCTGGGCTGTTCCCCAACCCACATGGTGAATCTCTGAGGCAAGAAAATCTGCCAATAAGCGCAGGACCCACCAAGATAGAGGAGGAACTGTGTGTGTGTGTGTGTGTGTGTGTGTGTGAGAGAGAGAGAGAGAGACACACACACAGACAGACTGTGGTAAGCTGATGAATGACTGTTATAAAGATGATTCAATTTTCTCGTTTCAGGATCCATTTTACTTTTGTCAGAACTAATGTATTTTGCCATAAAGCACTGTCATTAATGCAATAGGACTTTGTATTCCCATAAATGTCTCCTGCTCATGTATAAATGCACAGATAAATAATATGCTCATATTTAGCTAGTCGCAATATTCTTAGACCAAACATTTGTCCTTTGTTCTTGCTACCATGCAAAGTATGTTTGGCTTTTAATATCTGCTTGGATTTTTTCTTTATTAGAGAATCCAAGATAGTGGCAATAATTGGGTCCATTCTGGCAGTTCTAGACTATTCAAAGTCTTTTGGAAGTTTTTTTAAATGTGAAACAAAGGGTGTGAACAGAGATGTACTGAAGCCTCAAAATTCAAATCCAGGTTTCAAACAATCCAAAATTCAGGGTTTGGGATTAGGTCATTATAGAGAGAGAAGCCATTTACAAAATTCTGATCTGGGCTCTTATTTCAAACACCTGCAAAGTGTGGGAAGTTCAGCCCCAGAGTTTTGCTTTGGGCCCCACACACAACTACACTCCTTAAGGTTCAGTACAATTTACAAGGAAAAGTCCTTGTCTCACAGAAGGAGTCCAATA